TCTACAGATCGAGTTGCAGGACAACCAGGGATATACAAAGAAACCCTGTCTCCAAAAACAAAGCATAAAAAAGAAGAAACCCACAAACGAAATGAAACAAAACCCCCCACAAAATAATGATGAACAAGTAAATAAATATTTTTTGTTTGTTTTTTTCAAGACAGGGTTTTTCTGTATAGCTTTGTAGACCAGTCTGGCCTCAAACTCACAGAGATCTACCTGCCTCTGCCTCCTGGTTGCCAGGATTAAAGGCATGCACCATCATCCCTGGCTATAAATAAATATTTTTAAAAAGCAGAAATAACCGGGCGTTGGTGATGCACACCTTTAATCCCAGCACTCGGGAGGCTGAGGCAGGCAGATCTCTGTGAGTTCAAGGCCCACCTGATCTACAGAGCGAGTTCCAGGACAGGCTTCAAAGAAATACAGAGAAACCCTGTCTCAAAAAAGGCAGAAATAGCAGCTTTTTACTGCTGACTCCAAATCTGCTTTCCTAAAACTTCCCATCAGCTCTTGGAGCATTTGTAATCAGATCCACAAAACAAACCTACAGCTTCAAGCCAGGACTTGGGAGGCAGAGGCAGGAGGATCTCTGTGAGTTCGAGACCTGCCTGATTTACATAGAAAATTCCAGGCTACATATTAAGATACCATCTCAAACAAACCAAATATACCAAACCTACAGAAACCCCCCCTGCTATCCCATAATGATTTGCCCACATTAGACACTTTTCTAGGCACACTCCAGTCCTCTTGCTGTCCCCACCACTCTTTTCTGAGCATACTTTGTGATCATCTCTGTTGAAGTCTGGTTCCTCAAACTGGACAGAGGGTATGAGGTGTGATCTGATGGGGACAGAACACCATTATATACTCTGCAAGGAGAGTCAGTGTTACCTTTTTGTTTGCTTGTTTGTTTTGTTTTCAGAGACAGGGTTTTTCTTTGTAACATCCCTGGCTGTCCTGGAATTTGCTCTGTAGACCAGGCTGGCCCCAAACTCACAGAGATCCAACGGCCTCTGCCTCCTGTGTGCTGGAATTAAAGGCGTGTGTCACCATCGCCCATTGGATATACTTTTATTGATACTTCTCATATCCTACATTTTGGACTTCAGGAAAGGGAATTTCCCTTTAGTAAATTTAGTTAGTAAAACTGACCTAGTGACCAAAACAGAATCTTTATGCTTACGATCAATTGAGCAGTTAAGAGCCCCCTACATCTGCCCACTGTGAAATTTTGTCTTGTCCCAAGAATGCTTTGTCTAATTCCAGGCAACCATGGCATGACCATCTCTACACAGACTTTTCTAGTCTCCCCATCAAAGGGGGTGAACTGAATGGGGGAATGGTCTGTTTTTCCTGACTCTGTGCAAGGATGAGCAATCTTTATTTTGCTTTGTGAGTGATCCCCAAGGAGCCTTTCATTCATTTGCCATCCATTGAGTCCACATTTGTTGATCTGTAACCGTGGGATTCACCTTTCCTCATCCATAACAGGTCATCCCGAGGCTGAAAAACACATTCATTCCATTTTCTGTGGGGTTTGAGATAACCACCGCCAGGTGCTCTGCAAATATGCTGTGTGGGCTGTTACTAAGCAGACCATGACATGGAGTCTGTCTGAGCAGCCAGAGCTTCCCTGAGGCTAGACTGGCTTTCCTTTGAGCATGGTTCCTGATAGTATGTGCCTGGATGCCTGTCTTTACCTGATAGTTATAGAAGATAGCACAGGGACAGCCCTACAGCCAGGGTTACCATTCTTGCATGGGGACTTTAACCCTCTAACCCTTCACATACACTACAAATACAGATCCTAAGGTAGTTGTCTCCAGCACCCTATAATTAAACATCTGTGAGATGTGGGCTCAGGGTTGCTGCTCAACAATGAGGCCCAGACCATGAAAAAACCTGGGTCTTGGATGGCTGTCAGCCATCTTGAAATCCTGTCTGTCTTGGAGATCACCTTGTCCCTTCAGGCCTTTGAAAGGTGTGAGGAGCAAGTGAAGCTTCTCACTGGGGTGAAGGGGGCCTGGCATTGTTAAGGCATCTTGAGTGTGTGAGAAGAAATGTCTAAGTTACCCCTGTGAGACAGTCTTCTGATTTAGAGTCTCTCTACTATGAGAGGCCCCAGAGGGAATATATTTGAAATGGAGCAACTAAAGGTTAAACATGAAAATACAGACAAAATGGACCCAAAAGGTAGCATTATCCAGGCTCTCAGAGGGTGAAAGACATAGCACAGTCATTCTATTTGGCAGCACAACACCTCCTGACCACACCTCCATCACTCCTTGGTTTTCTCTTAGTCTTGCTTCCACTCGGTCATCCTCAGAAGGAGTGCAGCACACAGGCCATGAAAGAACACAGCTCAGTCTTTATTCAGGAGTCACATTTTGAAGATGGTCATAGCACACTTGTTACATAATAGGCATTTGGCAAACCATTGGATGCTCCTCATCAGCTTCCTTCTTTCTATATTAAAGAAAAAGCAACCTAGGGTCGGGCTTGATGGTACAGGTACAGGCCTTTAATCCTGGCACTCAGAGGCAAAGGCAGGCAGATCTCTGTAAGTTCAAGACCAGCCTGGTCTACATAGCAAGTTCCAGGACAGCCAGGACTACATAGAGAGACCTTGTTTCAAACAAAACAAGCAAACAAACATAAAAAACAACCCGGGGGGCTAGAGAGATGACTCAGTGGTTAAGAGCATGTATTATGATTGCAGAGGACTTGTGTGTACACTGATGTACACACACATATACATCAAAATAAAATCCGGGCTTGGAGAGATTCAGTTCCTAGCAGACTTGACCTACAATTGATAACTGCCTGTAACTACTGCTCCAGGGGATCTGATGTACACACACATATACATCAAAATAAAATCCGGGCTTGGAGAGATGACTCAATAGTTAAGAGCACTTGTTACTCTTGCAGAGGACCTGGGTTCAGTTCTCAGCACCCACATAGTGACTCACAATCATCCATAACTCCAGCTCCAGGGGATCCAACCCCTTCTTCTGACCTCCATGGGCATCAGGCACACACATGGTGCACATACATATGTACAGGCAAAACATTCATACATATAAAATCAAATAAATAAATCTAAAAAAATACAAATAAAATCTTTAAAAAGAGAACAGTTTTCTGAATGTGGTGGTGTACACCTTTAATCCCAGCTCTCCAGAAACAGAGGCAGGTGGATCTCTGTGAGTTCCAGGCCAGGCTGGTCTACACAGCAAGTTCCAGGCCAGCCAGGGCTACCCAGTTAAGACACTGTCTCAAAAAAAATGATAAGAAACAAACAAATAAATCAAAATCAAACCAAATGAAGCAACTCAACAGCACAGCCTTTAGCCTAGAGATGTCACTTTTCTCCAGAGCCTCTCTGCTTCCCCACCAACTTAGAGTGTGCCCATCAAAGCTAGAGCCACTGATGCTTTGGGATTCCTAGCCAGTGCAGGACAAGAGGGTGACCACAGGCTCATAAACTATTGGGTCAAATTCTAGGTCTCATTTTTGTTTTTTGTTTTTTGTTTTTTCTTGACAGAGTTTTGGGGCTGGAAGGATTGCTTAGTGATTAGCACCTCCTGCTCTTCTAGAGAACCCAAGTTAGGTTTCTAGCACCTATGTCTGGCAGCTTGCAAACACCTGTAATTCCAGCTCCCAGGGATTGGATACCTTCTTCTGGCCTCCAGGGCACCTGCATATGTAACACACACACACACACACACACACACACACACACACACACACACACACACACACACAGAACCTCAGGTATTCCAGACTTGCCTCAAGCTCACTGTAGCTGAGGATAACCTTGATTCTCCTGGGTCTTCCCTTTTCTGCTCCTCCTCCCAGGTGTAAGTGGGTTGAAGTATATGCCGATGGGGTGACTTCTTTTGTAACACTCTGTGGTTACTTCCCAGGTCCTCCCTGATGTTTTTGTTTCTATATGCTAGTATTTTTGTTTCAGAAAGAATAAAGGAAAGAAGGAAGAAGGGGCCTAAAGCTATTCTCCAATCATGAAATCACTCAAAATGCACTCCATCTCCCAACCCTTCTGTTAACTATTCCTGTGTGCTGAAACAACCATTGCCTCCCCCTCCCCCGATCTTGTCCCAGGCACCACATTAGTGTATTAGTTCTGGGTTTGGATCCTTGTATACACTACCTTGCTCTTGTTCCCTCTGCACATCATCCTGCCTTGTGATGGCTCATCTCCCTATTTTCTCAGGGTCACTTGGAACAATTCTATTCCTGGCTTCTGAGGTATCAGCAACCCTGCCCAACTGTCACACTTGATGAACAGATTTCAAGTTCAGCCCTTCAAGTCACAGAGGACAATAGGAAACCCCACAATGCTAACCCTGTGGGGACCCTTCTTGAATACATCCCCCAGAGTTATCAGGGAGCCACTAGTGACAGTCCCCCAGAGAACTTGATCTCCCATGACTTCTGCTATTCCAATTCACAGAAAAGGAACCCTGCCTCCCTTGAGGGAAGGAGATTGGCCGTTCTGTAAGTCAATGGAGGCAGAGGCGGCCACAGGCTGATGCTACATGCACTGCATTTCCAAAGGAGAAAGAATTTCAGCAGGTCAGAGGTCAAGCCTCCCCCTAGCCACCAGTCCAAGTTGGGGGCAGGGTGATGACCATGGTAATGGTGGCATTGGAGGAGGCAGTGGCAGCAGTGGTGATGGCCCGGTGGCAGAGTAGGAAGGAAGTATTATTTTTGCTGTTTCATTAGGAGGCCAGGCGATGACAGGTTTCAGCTGCAGGAACTCAGAGCACTGGGGCCAGGAGGATGGTACAGCAACATGATTAGGATCAGAGAGGCTTTATGCAGGGGGCCCAGGGAAGGCAGAGCACAGCCCAGACTTGTAGGAGATACAAGGCAGGAGGCCTCAGGCTCCTGGAGAATTGTGCTTCCAGCCTGAGTAGGCGCCTGGCTCCAGGGGCTGTCGGGGCAGGCCTGTGCACGGGAGGCAGGTTGGGAGTGCTAACTGGATTTTTTTATTTTTATATCAAGACACTGTTTAAAATTTTTTACAAAGGACAAACTCCATGGGTTTCTGTTAGTGTTTTAAGAACTTTTCTTAAAAAAAAAAAGGAAGGAAGAAAAGAAAAGAAAAAGCCAACAACAGCCAAAAAATAAAAAAATAAAAAAAAACCACAGCTGTTTTGAAAGAGAAATGACAGACACAAAGAGACTGTAAAGAAAACGGGGCAAATTTCTGATATCATTTCCCCAAGGATATAGGCAGAACCCACATTATATACCCAGAGGCCCAATAAGGTCCAGGCCTCCACAGTACTTAGTTTACCAAACCTAGGCTCCCCTGGTCTAGCCAGTTTAATGCTGCAGTCCTCTATGGGAACACAGAGCCAGTTGGTGCTCTGTCCTTGGTGGCCCTCCAGCCCCATCCTTTGCTAGCCTCTTCCTCCTTTCACCCCATAGTCTTACTCCCATCTGTTACTGTCTTGGAGGGTCCTTTTCCTTGGTCTGGTTGTATGAACACCGGGAGTCTCAGAACCAGAGAGTCCTGATCTTGGAGCCCTCCCTTCCAGAGGGGCTTAACATTCAACCGGCTGGAAAAACATTGGTTCCAAATTTTTTTTAAAAATCAACAAAAACAAGACCCAGAGAAAAGACCAAGTCTGGGGGGAGGAAGAGCTATCCTGCTCTTTAAAGCTCCCGAGTCTGCAGTTGGTAGACGGTGCAGTTCCGAGAAGGCAAGCACCAAGAGGGTGTCCGGCTGTGGCTTCCAGGGCCCCAGGAGTGTCTGTGGTCGGGTTCAGGGAGCTGGCTCCAGCTGCTATTCCATGGGCCCTTAGTACCAAGAACTCATATGTGTCCCCATTTGAAGGGCCTGTTCAGGTTCACTTCTGGATTTGTGTTTTTGTACATGCGGGTGCATGTCCACATCTGTCTGTGTTTGTGCAGATGGGTCTGCTGTAGGGTGTGGGTGCGTGCGTGTACATATATGTGTATATGTGTGCATGTGTGTTTGTGGGTCTGGGAGGGAGGGAGGGAGCTGGGAGCTGGGTTGTGCTCTGGGTTAGAGCTATACACGGGTAGTCGAGTGTGAATGGGGCAGCCCAGTACTGTTGAACCCTGCGGCAAAGGTGTTATAGGGATGCAAGGTCTGCAGCCCAACCAGGGAGTTGGGAATCATAGTGATGGTATTGGGGGTCATGAGTGGGATGTCATCAGGGGAGCGCCGCAGGGTCAAGGTATAGTCGGGCAATGCTGTGAGGCGCAATGTGTCATGGGGTGGGCCAGCCTCACATTCATGGTGAGTGGGACCCAACTGTAATGCTGCCAGCTCCTCCTCTGGAGCAGGTCCCAATTCAGGGGCACCAGTTCCCCTCTGGGGACTAGGCTGCCTCAGGGGCTCCTGGCGCCTTTTGTCCTTCCGGTAATAAAGGGCAGCAAAGGCCAACACATTAAGAAACAGTAGGGAGGCTCCCACAGCAATGGTGACACTTAGTTCAGTGGAGTAGTCTCGAGGGTTCTCGACCAGGAGTGGCCCTGCATCCTGGTCCCCATTCCAGGACCCAGGGGCATTCTCATTGCTGTAGGCAGGTGATATGGCTGGCCGCTTGGTGCTCCAGGTCTTGCCATTGGGCCTGCGAGTGATGTGGGAGCTGTGGGTGGTATCCGGGGGCGGCACTTTGGTGGTCGTGGATGTATAGTGGAACATGTCATGCAGGTTGTACAGGTGGGGCACCAGGTGTTTCCAAAAGGCTACCTTGGTGGCTCGGTAATGATCACGAACTCTTGGTTTCAGCCCGATATGAAGGTAGAGCTGGTCCCGGGGATTGTACTTGGACCAGGCCACTTCTTCAAAGCGGTTGGCCTTGGTGTGAATGAACTTGGTATCCTGGGGTACCGGCTTGTTGGGATCCCTGAAATACCATATTGAAACCTGGGGTCACCATGCTACCTGGAGAAAGAAAAGGCCCAGCCTCCTTCCTCTCACTCCCACAGTCCAAAATTTCCCACGCTTCCATGTTTTTTCAGGGTCCTGTCACCTCCCCCACTCCTTTCTTCCCCAGGGCTTGAACTAGTTCCCATGGCAGGCAGCATGAAAACATCTCATTCTTCCCTGAGCTCATCCGCTGCCATCAGGCTATGCAAATGCTTTGTCTTCTCACATGCGATTGAGTATCTATCTATTAGTCCTTTCAGCTGCCCAGTTTTATCAAGAGCCCTTGGAAGACTCTTTCCAAATGTGTGTTCCTTCTCCTTTCATATTGCTTTTGACCAGCTAACCTTGAATCCCACAGTTCTACCAGTAACGCCTTCCTGCTCAGTCCTGAAGCTAACAGTTCTGATTCTCAACACAATTATTATTTGGTGGAGCTGGGTACCAGGGCCTGGGGTGTGTTAAGCAGGAGCTCCACTACCTCCTTCAACAACAACAACAACAACAAAAAAGAAAGAAGGAAAATAGCACAGAATCAAGACAAGAAGGGGGATAAAGCTGTTAACAAGCAAGATTTAGAGAATTGCCCAGAAAGGGAGATAATGGAAGAGGTTAGGTTGAGGAGCAAAAGGGAGGGCATGCTGAGGTCCCCAAGAAGAAGACACCCCATTTTCTCCTTACCCGGTCTTGGCAAAGTTGGTCCAATAGGTCATAACAACAGCGCTGAGCATAACATCATTCTTGGAGAAGTTGCAGGGGAAAAGGTCAGTGGGACCTACCATAGGGACACCAAACACATAGGGCACTTCATCCCCATGAGCTGCATCTGACCACGCGGGCTTCATGAGGCTCTGGCAGTGATGGTAGAAGGCGTAGAAGTAAGTAGGTGAGCCATATCGGGCATGCAGATCAGCTGTCACCACTGAAGGTTCCACCCACTGGTGATCAGTGAAGAGTGCCACCAGTGTTTTACGGCGGGTCTCAGGGTTGTCACGATCTGCCCAGTCTGTGTACATAAACTTGATGGTCTCCCGCAAGGTGTCCTTACCCTCAGGATAGCCATACAGATTGTCCACAAAATTGGAGACAGAGTAGTCAAAATCAGTGCCAGAGACGCCATCCTCAGGGTCCACCACCCCTTCTACAAATTTGAGACCCTCACCCTGGTTGACACCTAGCATGATATCATAGTTGAGGAATTCTCCCTGTTCCATAAGGATCTCAGGGTCATCAGGAATGACATCACCATCAATCACAGGGCCAAAGGCCACATGGTAGCGGGCTGGCTGAATGTCCTGTTCTACCAGTTCCTTGGCGCTCTTTTGTCGAAGACAATCCACCATATCCACGGTGTCCAGCACGTTACAGCCCACTTTGTCTGCCAGCAAACTGGTATACTTCACTGGTTGGTAGTTCACAGCCCAGCTAGATAGAGCAGAGCCACTCTGGATGATGGCCCTCTGGAAAAGCCCTACAGAATATAGGTGGCACCGTGTCAGAGCTGTCATGTCACATATGACCATAAAACACTTTTATCCTTTGTCACTGAGGTCACCTTGTGCTGTGGATTGACTAGGAAGGAGGAGCTGGTCATTTAGCAGGAGATAACAGGGCAGGACCAGAGTGGGGCTGCTGAGCCCCTCCCTCCTTTGATCGCTTCCCTGTGGAGCTCCCCCTACCCCCCCACACTGTTTCCCAGTCCTGGTACAGTGGTTGGTAACTTGGGGGTTAAGGGAAATGCTAGGGAGAATTAACCCCTTGGGTCCCAGAAATGGGCCTCCTTATGCTCCTTCTCTTTATCACTCGTTGTCTCTCCCTCTTGCTTCCTGCCCAGCTGGGCCCAGTTCTGTGCCAACGCACCACCAGAAAGCTGGCGCTTACACCACAAAGGGGTCTTTTTCATGAGAGATGAGAAATGCAGGCAGGAGAGAGCCCCACATTCTGGGAGTTTAGGGATGAGTCCCAAGAGCAAAGGCCCTGGGGTCTGAGAGTCTCCTGGCACGTGCCCTGGCAGCGTGTTCTCTGCACAGATCCTCTTTTGCTGAAGCTACAGACACATCACATCCAGATTCTCCATAGCTAGAAGGACCCCATCCCCCAAATTCAAAAAGAAGAGTCTTCCACCTCTCCAAAGAAAGAACTATCTTTTCCTGGCTGCAATACTCCCAAGGGAGAATTTGGCTTTCAGGTATGCAGGGCCAATGGAAAGATGCTTTTATAAGAGCAGAGAGAGGGGGGAGAAGTATGAATTACTGCTAAAGAGAGAGTCATTTTCCCAGATATCCTCCATGAGACATTTATTAGTGCTGGGGATGGAACCCTCAGCATCCCACAGGGTAGGCAATTGCTTTGTCACTGAACCACACCTCTTTCCAGAGATAAAAAATCATTAGAGAAGTCAGGTCTCTAGAGTCACAGTCCCCCTTAAGATACACAGCGCAGTGTCATTCCAGGAAAGAGTCCCAGTCAGAAGAGGTGCCAGGTTTCTCTTCAGACACAGGCACCCTTACAGCCAGTCATCTCTCCCTCCTCTAGAGGAAAAAAGAGGATTCTTGTTCTCTCTACTGTCACCTAGAAACAGATACTCTTTCTGGTGGTGCTGGGGATGTAACTCAGGCCTCCTTCCCTTCATCCATTCATTTGCTCATTCATATTCTTCTCTGTTTCTCTGTCTCTCTGTCTCTGTCTCTGTCTGTCTCTCTGTCTTTGTCTCTCTCTCTCTTCCGAGCGCGCGCGCGTGTGTGTGTGTGTGTGTGTGTGTGTGTGTGTGTGTGT